AAAAATTCGGATAATTTTTGAGATTGCCCAGTATCTCAATTAATGTTCAAACCTTCCTCTACAAGACTTGAAACTGTACTTAAGTTTGTTTCACGGCATAGTTATTCAATTGTTAATAACGCGTTATGGACAACGCGCCATCTAGCGTACGGAAGCCGCGGCAAAATATGTGATCATGTAAAACTATCAAACAGGGTCACATTTTAAGGACCAGAGCTAAAGTAACTTTAGTTCTCGTCCTCCATCTTTAGTTCATAGGAAAAGTGAAAATACTATTTTGGTGGCAAAATAAAGATGACACGTAGAAACAGAAATTCTGGAAAACGCCCTATTATGCCATTTTGATGATATGTCGTTTTTGATTATATTTATGAAAAAACATATGTGGCAGCTGAAGCAAAAAGTGAGAATAAGACAGTCAAAGCACCATCTATTACCAGATCACTACTATAGTGTTATATGCTGCTATTTCGTACTTTTTTACAACTCATAAGCATGGTCTAGGCTTGGTCATTGAAGCAACGAATAAAGCACCTACCCCGAGCTTTGAGATCTATTGAATTAAGGCAGCGCCCTCTATTACTAGAATCGACCATTGTCAACCTCACTCCCGCAGTGTTCAATTCAGGTAATCGATGATGCCTTTCGCTCTCTCATTTTGATACATCTTATAGCTTGGATGGGAGATAGTTGCTATGCTTTGGTTTGTTGTTCCAGAGACCAAGCCTAAACAATGCTGAGGACTAGCCAAAAAGCATGAAGCGGCTATCTATGGTTGACTGTCTATGGTCGGGCAAACGAAAGCACCATGTTTAGCTAAACCAAACGGTATCCTGAAACCGGTCCTGCTAAGAATATATTCATAATCCTGAATGATAAATTGTATATATATATATGAACTGCCTTAAAAAGACGTATTTATTTGCAACTAGTTAAAGTATTGGAATTGCATATTGTACCATCGCAATTACTCAGCTTAAAGAGAATCATTTAATTATTACATAACAACAATCATCTGCAATTTCTTTGTTATCGCGTATGCTAATGCAGCTCAGTTGCCGTTATGTGTTCTCGCAATATTTTTATTCTTTATTTGTTAGAAATATGCAAATAATAACATAGTAGTAGCATGTGTGACAAACGAGTGGGTAACTGTTATCTTAAATAAATTGAAGGCCTTTATTTAGCTTTTCATTAATGAACTAAAAATTTAAAACTAATTTTTCCGATTGGAAAGATATACTACCCTACTAACAAACATACACAAATTTACATAGAGAAACCTCCGTATTTTACATTTTTAAATGTTTTATGAAGGAAAATAGTTTCCCCGTAAACGCAAATAATTGCATTTACACTTCAGAAAACACACAGCTGATCTCGAGAAAGTGATAATGCTTCCCCGCATTGATATGTTCAAAAAGGTTGTATTTAGCCAAAGATTAGTGGTTTATAATTATAAGTAACATTGAGGAAAAATAAGCCTTTTGCAGCGTTATGGTAACATCAGGGAGAAGCAAGGAAGCAATTATTAGTACGTTTCATTCATTCTTATTGCGCAATTGAGATGCAGAGCACTTTGTATTCTGGCTAGACAATATTGCACCTCACAAAACAAAAATTGAGGGTTTTTTCTTTTTTAATTTATGTAATAAATTCCAATAAAATCGCAGCTAGGGATATAACCATAAATTACTTCGAATCGGGTCATACATTTATGTCTGCCGACAGTTTCCACCACCAGGTGGAACCAGCCTTAAAGAAGAAGAAGAAAGTTTACGATTTTCATGATTTCGTTGTGGCTGTTCAAACTTTCAAGCGTGTGCTAGGAATTACAGTTGCTGATTCTTTTAACTGGGAAGACTTCTCTTCACAAGCAAAATTGAAAAAAATTATGCCACGTGTTTACCCGTCGCAAGTAGTTAAGGTAATAAATCGCCATATTTTAAAAGTTAAGACTGACGAAACCGAGGAGTTAAAAGAAATTGATTTTTTTGCAAGCAAAGTTAAAGTTATTTTCATATAAATGCATATATTTTTTTGAATAGGTTATATTCATAATAATAAATATTATCTTAAAATATATAAAATGATTGTCATTTGGCGCAGATATAAATTTTTATCATAATTACATAGTTGAAACCAAGCATAAGCCGAATTTGAATTATACTTGGTTTTAACTAACTATTATTAACATAATGCATGGCTTTGTTAGCCCGTATATCGCATAACTAATAGCTATGGCTTAGGCTTGCATATGTCTTTCTTAAAAATGATTGCTTTGATATTATAAATTATATAATAAATGATCTTATTTTATTAGTCAAGTAAAAGTACAACATAAACAGCAGCAGTTTTTAACCGCGGTTTTCTCGAAATTTGTTCAAGTAGAGATACGCGAGTCTTTCTTGATAGGGCAGTACAGTTCCATACTTCCTAACCTTTAAACACCAATTAAGCTGTTTTGTTTTAAAATTCCGAATAGTATTTTAAACCTCGTTGCTGCCTACGTCACTGGTGAGGATGTATTGAGACCGCGAAAAATACTGCTCCGGTCCATGAAAACCTGCGAAACTGCTCTCAATGAGTAAAAACCAACTTCGCGCAATCACAGGGCTTCTAACAGGATGCAATGGCTTGAAGGAACACCTGAGCGGAATAGGGATGTGCGATGGAGACATTAGCTGCCGACAATGCGGAAAGGGAAGAGAATCAGCCCTACATTTCTTATGTAAGTGTGAGGTGCTGTATCATTAAAGACAACTCATCGGGCAGGGCAACCAAAACTTGAACTGTGGGAGTTTAGAACAGTACCGGCAGAAGAACTGTGACAGATGGTTCAGAACACTAGGCTGCTGGATTGGGTACTGTGAGCTCAGGGAGCAAAGCACAATAAGCCCTAAAGGCTGCAAGGCCATCGAGGACTTTGGTCAGACGGCTCCCGAAAAGGGAAAAAAGCGCAAAAAATATCACCAGAAACCATGTCACTCGTTTCCGTCGATCTGTCTCTCTGTGGGTCTGTAACCCCCTAATCAAACCGCAGAAAGCAAGGCTGTAAGTCTCTAGTTGTAAGGATTAGTCTAAAGGTGGCTCGAGACTATTTTTAGTTCTTTACAAGTACTTCTTAAACGCTGCACTTGCCAATGGACGTTAAGCAATGATGAGAATACACAGACGAAAATATTGGGGCGTAATTGACCAATTTAGATATCTTAGAAAAAAATAATTAGGTTTATAGATTTTTTGTTGAGGAAAGCAGTCGAATTGTCGGCCCAATGAAATTTCGAAAAGACAACTTTTGCTAAAGACCTCTCGAATAAGTTATTAGGGTTCCCAGGGGTTCGTTGTTATTTAATATATTTATTAATGATCTTGTCAGTACGCAATACAATTATTTTATTTGTGGATGATGTTAAGGTTTTGAGAATTATTCGGAACAAACATGATGCTGAATTGCTGCAAAGAGGTAGACCATATTTCTCATTGATGTGGAATGATTTCTTCACTTTTATATGATTTACATTTAGCCGGTCTCGTTTTCACACTACTTGTTTTTAAATCATAAACAGTAGATCAAGCTATAGACCAGATCGAGGACTTACGAGCTATTTTTTACTCAAAATTATCATTCAAGTACATATTGGAAAACAATCAACTTTGCATATGAGATGTTAGGCTTTATAAATCGGCATTGTGTCACTTTTCTTTAAAAAATGTTCTTTGGGTCGTTCGTTACATGAGTACTCGTATTAGTGCTCCATCTGTTCCCTAAGTTATAACTTTTTTTGGATCTGTGGAAATAAAATTGATTTCATTGGGGAGGAGTATAGCTATACTGATACTCCTCAGTACATAAATATGACTTCTTTCAAGCAAACCAGGCTGGAATTTGACTTAATTTTCTTGCACAAAATTATCAATGTACACATTGATTGTCCCCAACTGTTTGGAAAAATTTCACCTAATGTGAATGATAGGAGAACGCCACATACTGAGACTTTCTTTGCTCCGTCATATCAAACAAATTAGAGTTTAAATAAGCCCATAAATCCTCATATTAGGTTAGGTAATAGTTATATATCCAGTTTAAAAGTATTTGGAACTTCTGTTTATATATGTATAAACGAAGTGTTAAGAACATTACAATGTAGTTCTTTTAACCAAGCCTGTTTAGTTTTTGTAACAAGGGATTTACCCGTTGATTAAATAAGTAAATAAATATCGTGAATTGGATGTCATTTTTGCATTCATTGTCTGGCCTCATACTGTCCAGAGGCAAGAGTAGCGAGAAAAGATTTGCCAAAAACGCTAAAACTTTCATTATTTCAAAATCATAGGAATGAAATGAATGAATGAACGAATCTTGAATTCCGGCCACCATAAGGAGCCAGTGCATAGGCCGCTTAAACGGGCCCTTATGCACCTCTATAATCCTTAGATCACAAGCCTCGCCCTTTTAGCGAAGTTGAGAATCGCCTTGAGTCCAAGCTCCTTGATGCCGAGGTCGCTTCCTCTATCCTGCAGCGTTCACACAAGGGATCCTCAGCCACCCCCATCACGTGCAGGTGACGCCTTAACGTGTTATGGCCCGACAACACTCTCACCAGCAACCTTAGGTTGGCTCTATCCAGAGATAGGCAGAAGCGTCCATCCTTAGCACTGGGCCCTTCAATGAGTTCCCGTGCCTGGCGGAGATGTCTGGGGATACTTCTCCATTTCTGAGAGGCCGATCTGAGATATTGTCAGCTCGCTGGCCCGATAATTTTTGTTCAAAATATCGAAAAATGACTTCAAAATTGAATTTATATTGGACTATAAGTTGGCCCGGACCACCACCTCCCGAAAAATCCGATTTTGAAAAAAAACGAAGATCTTTAAATCAGGCTTCAATTTAAATCGCTAATACCCCAGTTCCCCGAAACCAGACAGGTAGCATCAAATTCATCATACGTATGTATCTCTCCAAGAAATATTTTATTGATCACCCCGTGTAATCGTACCTATTGATCGAGACATCCTGTTTAACTAACCACTACCATTATTAAATATTTATCCGTTTACTGTATCCTCATAAGTAATTCCCTGAATTCACTGAATGCACTAGAAAAAAATAAAAGCACGGACTCTTTATTTTGGACACACCCGCAACATGCGTACACACGTATTTGTTGTGCATTAGTCAACAAATTAATATAGAGAAGATTTAAATGTCACGATTATGTAAATTTGTTGCGTTTGAATTATTCCACGTGTGCGCAAGTGAAGCAATTGCTGCTGGAATGCAATCGCGGATATTTATTAAAGTAAACAAACATAGATCACACTCATCTCGCTCAGACTTACACGGTGATTTTTCAAATACACATTTTGGACTTATTTTGTGATAGTATAATACTTATATAATACCTTAATACTAATATACAGAGTGAGTTTTTAGTGTTGGATCGGTCGATTGCTCCATTATTGTAACAGATCCCTAAAAAGCTATTTACAAATATTATATCTTTACTTTGGAAATATGCCTCCCCCTACGGAGACCTTCATGTATATTTTTTTGTTTAACCAACTTATTTTTAAATCGGACACAACTGAAAAAGGTCAGTATGTCTTCTAGTCATGAAGCAAGTAATCAGCCGAAACTTTTCTGATAACCGAGAACAGTTATTTAGAATCCTGTACCTAGAAAACAATAGAATAGTATTGAATAAGTTAATGGTACCAAAATGGTTTCTGTAAAAGAAAACGCCTAGGTGATAATTAGAGTGGAATTTAAAAACTTATATATTATATATTAATAAAACAATACGAAGATCACTGTTAAGAAAAAACTGACTTGTTATCAATAGGAAATAAATCAATCGAGCTACTTAAATGAGAAAAAGATTTTATAGTAATATTAAATGCCGAAGAAAACCCTGTATACTAGGAGCAACGACAGTCGGGCTATATTCCGGTAATAAACGTGTTTTACCTCCCACACAGCTACATGTAAGTGATGCAACAACAAAAATGAATTTAAAAGAAACAAAAAAGGGAAGTCAGCAGAGAAATATTTTACGCAAAGAATATGCTACAGATATTTCTTCGTGCTAAGTCGCCACAGCTCTCAAAAACAAAGGTTGTTAGCAATCTAAGCAGAGGAAACTGTAAGTTTATCAGTTCCCGCTGTCCAACGCTTAGACTAACTAGATTACAAATTGAAAAAAGAAACTAAAACTGAAATACCTATACAACAAAGCTAATAATACCCAAAAGAATGACGATCCTATTAATCAGGTATATAGGCTGCTAGATTTTCTTTTGTTAAAGTAAGTTTTCTAACAGATTTATGTATAATTAGAATTTATGTATAATTTCTCATGTATATGTATCAAATCATATGATTCCAATGAATATTCTAACGTGACCAAGACGTCTAATGTCTCCTTGCTCTTGCTCAACAAATTCTGGGACAGCATGATTATCGTCCTTATTATTTCAGAGTTCCACTCATCCTGCAAATACTTATGTGTAGCAATATTATGAAGTACAGCACAACATATGATTATTTTCGGTACGTTTCTGATTGCGAGTCTAATCCTATTTGCGAGTATTCTATTGTAACTCTTTCTTTGAATATAGTGTGTTAAATCGCCTTTCTAATTCAGTTTGTGGTTGTCTGAATGGTGTTAAAAGCCATGGAGATATACCACATCCAAGCATTTCATTGAAATCTTGAAAGTTTTTGTTGAACAGGGCTATGTAAGTCCTACTAACGTGCACACTTCCAGGCCATTGCACGTCTACACTTGTGATCCTTTCCATTGCATTACATGTCATCTAAATATCTAATGAAGCAACATTTTTGCTATTTATGTCATCGCTACATCGCCAAACGTCCTTCCAGGTTTTTCAAATTTGCATATGGTTACGCAAATTACAGGGGGAATCCTGTATTTTACCATTCAATTTATCTTAGCTTCAATTAAATCTCGTTCGGTTACTGGAAACGCTATGCGTTGACCTGCCTTCTCCACAATTTTTTGTGTAACATAATCTACAGTCCTACAAACTGTTGCTCTTGCATCACCAAAATCTTTGCAACACCATTTTCAGAATCAGGGTCACTAATATACCGGAGAAATATTTCTATATATTTTCTTGAAGAAGGAGCACCGCCTTGATTTTAGTTGTTATCTGATATGAAATAGTTCCTATTGAAATCGATATTTTGATTTTCAAACCTTAAAAGACGTTTTGGACTATTTGCACTTATCTCTTCGATCACAATATTATTTAACTTTACGAATATTCATAAATGCTGCCATAATTTAGACACTTCAGATTATCAATCCTGCTGTAAGGTAACATCAAACCAACCTTTCGAAAATTAAACTTTTTACCTATTACGTAACGTTATATTTTGCTGTAATTCACTCCAATCGCAAGTAAACACTTAAAATATTTACTTAAGTAGTAATAATTCGAGATAGCAAGTGTTTGCTTGACAAGTGCCAGTGAAAGTTCACTTACTATCAAGAATTAACTTGAACATTGTGCAGTAACAGCATTTACTCCCTTTTATTCACCCATCTTACATATATATTTTTGTCTTAAACTGTCCCTTTTATAAGCTTCATTTGGGTATTGAATTTTTGGATAATCAAAATATGAAATATTTAAGTTATGTGCATTTTTCCTTAAATTAAAATCAAAATAGATAATTACCGTACTATTCGTGGAAAGGGAGGATTCTTAGCGAGTTCGAAGCAACATAAATCAAGATCTTTTTTTGCGTTTTGCACGTTACATCGCTCGAAGCTGCGCGTCTCAGGATATAAAAGTGCTAGAGCAATAATGGCCCAAATTTCGACCCAGGTATGTATAGAACTTCTTGCACCATTAACTATGACATCTTACCACATTCGATTTGATTTGACTTTGAAATATAGCATATCTGAGAGTTTTCTGAGTATTCGGCAGCGCTGTTCGAATAAAGCACATTGAATGACTACATCACAGACGCTGCTGCTATATGATAACGTCAAACAAAGATAACAGATGCTACGTACACACATCATTCGTATCCCTCTTATTTTCAAATATTGCATTCTATGAAATAGCTTAGAACATTTTTAAGCTGTCAGAATAATGAGATCAATAAGTACAACCAAAAACAATAATTTCAGTTTTGAAATAAACTATATTCACTTGCAGTATGCAATAATTGTTTGTAATATTCGAAAACAAATAAAGGGCTTAATAGCAATGACTATCCTATGTCTAATATGGTAAAGAAATTTTATTTCTCCTTAGAGCACTGGTGCTCAAACTTATTTCATATTTTGCCCACTTTGAAATTAAATTATTTTCTAAGTTAAATATACCTAGTCTTAAGTATTTACAGAAACACAAATTAACTATTGCATTGCTTCAATTTCGTCTAGGTTCTTTATAACCTCTTAGGTCCCAGCGTCCACAAGGCGGAGTTATCGTCTACTTTGAGAAAAACTACCGTAGAGGAATGCACTAAATAATGGCGACTACTCCTGTTACTAGTGAAAAAGACGCTTTATATGTAGATTAAATGTTCTCGTTTACGATGTTTATTACGTGGAAACTTGTAAAACATGCGACGTTGTTGTGCAAAAAATCAATTTCCATTATCGGTTGCTACCAGAGAACCGAGCAGACGCTTTTCATATTAGGGTAGTATAAGGGTAGTAGAATACAATCTCGGAACCCTAGGAACAAAGGAGCAATCGCAATCGCATCGCCCAGTCCTAGAGTTTAGAGGGTCGTCACGGTAAGGATAGGATGCCGAAGTCAGACAGGTATGTTTGATAGGCTCATCGTGCTAAGCATAAGGAAAGAGATCTCTGAGAAGCAAATCCCGTTGGCGTACGAAAAAGTCTCGAGACTGTCAGTTAGAGAAAAGTCTGTAAACCTTCCTTCCGTTACAAGTCATCGATCAGTTGGACATTCCTCCTCTGAATAGCATGGATAATGTAGTCGGGCCGGCAGCACCCTAAACATGTGAGCATTACTCGAGGCTAGGTCTTATCTGCATCTTGAGCAGACTGAGGAGGTTATGTGTAAGATAATTTCTTAGCCCTAAACAAATAGCCTAGTTTTTAATAGCCTAGCCCTTTTCCGACAGCTGCCGTAATTGTCTTGATGTGTTGTTCCACATATCCAAAAGAATAATAATAATAATAATAATAAATAATAAATAAATAAAAGGTTTAGTGTCACCTTATGCTGTTTTTCAACCCGACCTAAAAAAACATTGACACAAACTATAAACAAATAAAAAAATACCTACATTTAAATGGCACAGTTCACAACGTTGACCACCAAAAAGAGAAAAGCTTAAAATATTACACTTCTCAGAAAAAGGAAACAATCAATTACCTGTGGATATGCGTAAAGTTAAATTCTAGCCTTTTTTTAAAATTGCTTAGGCTATATTCTTTATACTCACTTGACAAGCAGGTATATAGTTTGGGTGCCCAGTACGAGAAACTTCGTGTGACAATGCTGTCGAATGCTGCGGGATAAGTAAGATGCGTTTATTCCTAGAGGACCTTTGGTCGTACTGACAGAGGAAGTTTAGCTTTGAATAAAGATAATACGGCGCTTTAAGAAGGGTCTTATGTACCAGAGATAGGCAATGCAGTTTCCTGAATTTATTCATCTTACACCATCCGGATTGGTCAAAAGCCTACTAATATGATCAAATTTACGGATTCCATAAGAAAATCTGATGCATGAGTTTTGTATCATCTGAATCCGCTCGGCATCACTTGCAAGAGAGCAGATTCATAAACAGAGTCACCGTAAGATAATTTTGGCAGGATAAGGGATTCGCAGAGTTTAAGCTTGAGCTGTGCTGACAGGACACTTCGACTCGGGTATAACTGACGAAGCACATTATAGGACGTATTGCCTAGTTGGTTTAGTGAAGCGTAGCTTCCAGTCAAACCAGACACCAAGGTTTTTGCATTTTTTTACGAAGGATATGTCTTCATTATTTACCATAATATTAAAGCGATATTGATTTATTTCACGATTCTTTTTGGGCTCAAA